TGCAGAATATAAATAAATCTAAATGATGCACAGCACTCATAAACCATCGCTAGATTTTCAACAAGGTAAACTCATGTTGTATCTTATTTTTTAAATATATATATATATATATAGTTAACTCCCCTTTAACTTTCTAAATGTTCACTAGGGGGAGTTCTCCCTGCACTATAAATACTGGGCGATTTCTTGCCTCATTCTCTTTTTCTTCTACAACATAAGCTCTAGCAGAAGAGTGCATCTCCCCATTTATGGGAGAACAGTATACACACATACACATACATACGAACATTCACCAAAATACAAACTCTTTATGTTCACACACAAATGTTAATGTCTATATCCATTGTAAATTTTGTTCTTTAATTCATATATTTGTTGATTTTCTTTACACTTCTTTATGGTGGATTCAATCTCTGAGTCCACCATGTTCTTGTAGTTGGACTTTCTTCTAGCCGGAATAAACATACATGTTCCTAATTTAACAACATGTAGACCCATGGTCCGCTACATACACACATATATATATATAAATAAAAGGAAAGAACAGTAAGATATATAATCCAATGTTCTTATAGATATTTTTATTTTTACAAAATAGTGCTCAATGTAAATTTACAGAGCATTAATGTTATAAATTAACTGAATTAACATGTTTTTTTTTTCGCTACACAGTTTTAACCATGTTTCAAAAATGGAAGCTAAAAGCTTTGAATTTAATTTTGTAATTAAAGACATTAGTTTCATTTCATCTTCAAGCGTATTTTGGAGTAACTAATTTTTAAAATTACTGGGTTTTAAAGGCACTGCAAAAATTCATAATTCACGTTTCCAAGGATACAGAGAAATCCATTCATCCAGACAAGGGGTGGTTGCTGGTTCATTATTGCTGTATTTTATTGTATCAGTTATTAGTTACGTTTGAAGAAGGGTTTTCGTTTAGGTAGGAGTAGGGATGTATTTTTCAACAAATTCTGACATCCGTTAAATGCATGTTGTCTGGATATTTTTTTAAATTTTATTGTTAACGGCAAAAATTCTTACGGCATTTTTTTCTATTTGTATACTTAAAGATTTGGGGGGGGTCTTTAGGTTAGAATACGTTTTATTTAACTACGATTTTAAAAAATATTTTAATCTTATCTTACTTATAAAATGCAGATTGTGTGTGTGTGTGTGTGTGTGTCTGTACATTTATATATTGGATCGGATTTCCCATATTTTTCAACCGATTTCAACAAAACTTCACAGGACTGCGTGAAATTACCTTGCGGTGGTTCTGACAGTGCCAAAAATTGGAAAAACAATTGTTTTTTGCATGAAATCAATCTGAAAACACGATTCTGTCACCAGAATGAAAGGGGGACAACTCATATCGAGTTATACTTATAAAACGCAGGTTGTTTGTGTGTGTTCATTTATATATGGGATCGGATTTCCTACATTTTTCAACCGATTTCAACAAAACTTCACTTTTTTTTGGCAGGTAATGTTTCTTATTGTCTTCCACACTTTTTTCTTTACTTTTACATTCAGAATGCTTTAAAAATTCCATTTACAAGACAATTGTTTATAATAAAATTCATAACGATTGAAAACAATGTTTTTGTTTGAGTTTGGGTTTGACCAATTCATAAAAAAAAAAAATAATTAAGACATGCGTGTCTGTCCACCTTAAACAATAATCTTTGTCAATTTTATTTTGCAGTCTTTATGATGGTCGATACTTGATCTATCTCTTACTGTTACATCCCCGGGCAACGCCGGGCTCTACTGCTAGTTTTTAATATACTATATTTCTTTTTAAAACAAGTAAATGTATTAGAATTACTTACAGTATGTAAAATTTTTTTCACATCAAGTATAAGTATGTATAGCTGTTCCAATAACTTGGACCGATTTTAAATGTGAATTAAGTTTAAGTGCCTAATGATTTTTTCTTTCAGATTTAACAAATTAAGTATTTGGCAATTTCAACCATAGAAAGATTAACCATCAAACAACGTGCTAAAGGACAGCATTACATACCACAGAGCCAATACAACAATGGCTTTATTGAATAAAAAGTTCCCAGGTCGCATCAACTCTCAAAACAACGAAGTCAATTGGCCACCACGATCATGTGACTTGACGCCCTTAGATTTCTTCCTTTGAGGTCATCTCAAAATTAAGGTTTATGCCAACAAGCCAACAACAATTTAACAGCTGAAGGATGAGACAAAGCATATTGGTGAGATCGAGGAGCAACTATGTAGAAACATCATCAAATATTTTGACCATCGAGTGGAGGTGTGCTGCCGAAGCCTTAGCGGACATTTGGGCAATGTTATTTTTCACACATAATTGCCATGACTTAAATAACATGATCCAATAGAGAAATAAATAAATTTTCACCAATAACACTGATTTATTTACTGCTGACTTTAATCCGTCTTAATGAAACAGCCTTTATATATAACAAAAGGTAACAAATCCATTGGTATATAATCCAAGTGGATCCTAGTAATATAAAATATTAAAACTGATTCACAAAAAGAGCTCAATGTATTTATTATTACAGAGCAAATAATTAATAATCATACTTATTATAAAACCCAGGTTGTGTGTGTGTCTGTATGTTTATATATTGGATCGGATTTCCTACATTTTTCAACTGATTTCAACAAAACTTCACAGGACTATGTAAAATTACCTTGCGGTGGTTCTGACAGCACCAAAAATTTGAAAAACACAATTGTTTTTGCACAAAATTAATTTGAAAACAATTAAGAGGCATCACAAGAATGAAAGGGGGACAACTCATATCAAGTTATACTTATTATAAAACCCAGGTTGTTTGTGTGTTCATTTATATATAGGATCGGATTTCCTACATTTTTCAACCGATTTCAACAAAACTTCACTTTTTTTTTGGCAGATAGTGTTTCTTATTGTCTTGCACACTTTTTTCTTTATTTTTACATTCAGAATGCTTTAAAAATTCCATTTACAAGACAATTGTTTATAATAAAATTCATAACGATTGAAAACAATGTTTTTGTTTGAGTTTGGGTTTGACCAATTCATAAAAAAAAAAAATAATTAAGACATGCGTGTCTGTCCACCTTAAACAATAATCTTTGTCAATTTTATTTTTCAGTCTTTATGATGGTCGATACTTGATCTATCTCTTACTGTTACATCCCCGGGCTCTACTGCTAGTACACAATAAAATCTAAAATCACCTCATATGAGGAATAAGCTTATTTCGACAGATGAAAATATCATTTGTCTGTCTTATCAACCCCAGTATACTGAGTTTTTTGTCAGAAACAGAAATTTAACTGTTAAAGCTATATATATATATATATATATATATATAGTCCTCATTCAGTTTATGTATCTTGTTTGTCAAACTCATTGCAAACAGACTGAGTGGCATCAGTTCTCTCTCACAAAGAGACCTCACACCAAAACTTAGCTACAAAAGTGTGAAGTGCATTTGTCTTTGTGGATGATGAAAGCTGTTAAGATTGTTGAATAATTCAGTTGCAGGGCTAAAAGTGAATTTCCTGACTCAATGTCAAAGTAGAGTACCGGGTACATTCTTTATGCGGTACTAAGATGATGTTTTGTGTCCATTTGAAGTTTTGGAATTTTCAATAAATTAGCTGTTTTGGCAAAATGTAATAGAATGAGCTAGTTTTTTTTAACTTGTTTCTGTAATACTTATAACTTGTACTATTTGAAGATTTCAAAAAACAACCCTAATGAGGATCGTTATATCATTCGAAAAAAGAAAGATGTGGAAACAGGAGGACCATCAACATTAACAGATACATCTGAAAATGCAACTTCCATGAATGTTGTTAAAAAGACAACCTTAGCAAAGCAAAGATTGACTTCTTTTGAGACACCTAAGATGAAAATTAAGTTTGTTTTTAAGTAATAATTTTATATTCATACAAATAGATACATACAATTCCAATATGTGCTGATCATAAGAAATATACTCATAAACTGTTCATTATTTACATTATTTGGATTATTGTTCTCATGTTTGTCGCCATATTTATTACAACGTTTCGGCTGTTGTACACTCTGGCCTTTTTCAGGTGGTTGGAATGTCAAACTGAACCCTTTATTTCGCTCACTGGGTTAGACTGTTCTAGTTCCATGTGCCATGTTTAATAGATGTCAGTTATCTCATGTTAATTTCCCTCTGAAAGTTCTCCACTGCCTTAGCCAGGTATTGAACTCGCACTCTTTGGGTCCTGTCACTGGATCTAACCAACGCCTTTATCCACTGTGTCATGGGTCCTTGACATCTGTGTATGAAGTTCTGGGTATTATAAACTTAATGTCTTCAGCAACCATTTTTTACAAGTGCACATATTGCAATTTTTGATGTTATCATTACATGTTTTTACTGGAGCTCATATTGCAATTTTTGTTGTTAATTTCGCTTTTCTCTGGCACTCCTTATTACTGGTTCCCATATTGTATTCATTTCTATGCTTGGTTGGCTCAGGAGATTTTTGTGCCCTAGCATATAACTGATAACTGAATACACATCTGGAGAGTGAAATGTATGTCTAGGGAGAAAGACAAGTACGCATCGGGAAAGAGAATTGCACATCTATACAGCTGGAGAGACAAGATATTTAAAGAGAGATACATCTGGAGGGAGATAGAAAATATTCATCTTGAGAGAGAAATACACACCTGTAGAGAGACAAATACACACGAGCATAATTATCTGTCTCTCTGGAGAGAGATAAAAATACATCTGGAGTGAGAGAGACAAATGCACATCTGGAGAGACAAACAGGAGACATACACTTCTAGAGAGAGAAATGCACATCTGGAGAGGGAAACACATTTAGAGAGAGACACATCTAGAGAAAATTACACATCTGGAAAGAGACGAATACGCATTTGGAGCGAGTATGATAAATACGCATAGAGACAAATACACATCTGGAGTGATAGACAAAATGCAAATCTGGAGAGAGAAATATCATCTAGAGAAAGGAGTCAAATATGGAAAGAAAGACAAGTACATATTTGACATCTGAAGAAAGAGACAAATATTTGGCATCTGGAGAGACAGACAACCATCTGGAGAGAGATAAATGCATATTTTGAGCGTGAGGGATAAATACACATGAGCAAAGAGGCAAATATACTTCTGGAGAAACATACACATAAGCAGAGACAAATATACATCTAGAGAGAGAAAAAAGCATATTTAGAGAGTGAAATGCACATGCAGAGAAAGAGTGAAGTACACATTGGGAGAGAGACAGATACACGTTTGGAGAGAGAGTGAGAAGGAGAGGGCTATCCCCATCAGGAGAGAAATACACATCTAGAGAAAAATAAACAAGTACATATCTGGAAAAACAGACAGGTACATATTTGGAGGGACAGACATTTGGAAAAAGAGAGAAAATACCCATCTGTATTTTGTCTCTCTCCATATTTCTGTTTGTACAAATCTGTCACTCCAGATGTTTATTCATCTATTTTTTCACTATATGTGCATTTCTCTCTCCAGATATATATTTATTTCTATTTCCAGATGTGTATTTATCAGTGCATATGTGACACCCGCTGATGGTTGCAGCGCCAATATGTGACGTCCTCTGGTCGCGACGCCAATATATGACACTGCGCTGTCGGCCTATGGTCAACTCCCAGTTGCAGTGCGAAGCTGTAAGGTTTCTTCCACCGGTGTTTGGGGTTGACTCCTTGTCACTTCCACCAGCCTGTGTCCCGGTTGATCTGGTCGTTTCCAGTTCGATACTAGCTTTATCGTTCCCTGCTCACTTCCAATGTCTTCAGTGGGTGTTAACAACTTCTCTGTCTTTCTCATACATTCACCTCCGCCTATCACCCATGCTACCACTTGACCAATGATCTCTCGGCAGTGTGGGGGTGGCTAGCCTGGCCCTCTTAAAATTATTATCCAGAACTTTGTTTACAAAACCCTTTTTTTCTTTTTTCCTTCAGCCAAAACATTTTTTCACAAACCCCAGATTGCCAAATAATTCTTATCACATCTTTCTTTTGGGGACATCAACCATTGTCAAAACCCGCCGTCTGGCTTCTCTGCTGAGTCAACTTTTAACTGGGAAGTCTGTGTTTTACCTGAGAATCAAATTCTTTGTTTTTCTCATGCCTTAAAATCCTCTTATCACCAGATGTCCATTTTCGATGATACTGTGTCTGACGTCAAAAGTTTGAAAAAGTAATACTACGATTTTCTTCCTCATGCCAGAATTCTAACACATACCAGATGGTTTCCCTTTGTTGGTCCCAGGAATCAAAATCAAATGATATCTCTGAAAGATAATTAATATTGATTCTCTCTGCCTGTATTGTGGTCATCCGAAGTTTTTTTATGACCTACATGTTTTGGTCAGCGTTGTTTTTCTTTCTCAATTCTGTTTCCCTTGGCGTGTCATTCCCTTACCATGACATTAATCAGTTTTGACAGAATCTCAAATCTCGCTTTTTCTTATGGATTTTCTATCTCATGCAAAAAGTATCTTTCTTCGTAAATAAAATAAAATCTTCTTTTTAACGTCGCTCAGTCTATCTTTTGATATAGCTCTTTCTCGCCTTAAGTCTTTCCTGTTTTTAATTTCTATGGTTAATTAGTTAGCCAATTACCATAGCTAAATAGTGTCACACATATTTATTTCTCTTGGTCCGGATGTCAAATATGTACTTTCCAGATGTATATGTATCTCTCTAGATGTTTATTTATCTCTATTCCCAGTTGTGGATTTGTTTCTCTATCTCTTGATGTGTATTTCTGTTATGGTGGAACACACCTATTCTATAGTTAATAGACTCTTCCACCTATAATAAGTAGGAGTAGTAAGAGTAACGGGTCAGTCAGTGAGTCAGTCAATGTCGGATGACAGTTGAATACGAAAGTATCAGCGACCACAACTAGATTACTCTGCGTAATACTTATTATATGAAGTTCCTAACATTTTGTATGTCGAACCTATTTTAGGACTGACTTAGTACAAATACAAACCTCCACTGTGAAATCACTCCACAACAATTTCTCACTCCAGATATGTATTTTGTCTCTCTCTCTCTCTCTCTCTCTCTCTCTCCCCAGATACGTGTCTGTCTCTCTAGATTTCACTCTGATGTGTAAAATACTCTTTAGATTTTTCTACTTGTCTGTCTTTCCAGATGTGCATTTGCCTATGCTCATATATATCTGTCTCTCTCAATTTGTGTACATGTCTATCTCCCTATATGTGTATTTCTCTCCTCATATGTGTCTTTTGACTCTTGCTCAAGATGTGTATTTGTTTGTGTCTCTAGATGTGTATTTTTCTACCCAGATATGTATTTTGTCTCTTCCTCCAGGCTGTGTATCCAAATATGCACTTATATCTCCAGATGTGTGCTTATTTATTTCCTTCGATGTGTACTTCTCTGCTCATGTGTATTTATTTCTCTTGCACCATATATCCAATATTTACCTGTTTGTCCCTCCAGATATGTATTTGTCTATTTTCACTTAATGTGTATTTCACTCTCCAGATGTATATTTTGTTTATCTCTCCAAATTTTTGCCTTTCCAACTATCTACTTGTCTTTCTCTCCAGATGTTTATTTGTCTATTTTTCTCTAGATATATTTTTCTCTCCTCAGATGTGTATTTATCTTTCTTTACAGATGTGTATTTTGTCTATCTCTAGATATGCATTTGCCTCTCTCTCCATATGTCCGTCTCCAAATATTTACTGTCATGCAAGATAGGTATTTTGTCTACTTTTTGTAGATATGTATTTTTGTCTATCTCTCCAGATATGTATTTGTTTCTGCTTATGAGTATTTGTCTAGATGTCTCCATATGTGCATTTGTTTTCCCAGATATGTATTTGTTTTTCCATATTTGTATTTATTTTTATATATGAGTATTCTGTCTCTTCAGATGTCTGTCTTTCCAAATATGTATTTGTCTGTTTCGCCAGATGTGTATTTTTTTATTTTTATCTAGGTGTGCATTTCTCTCTCCAGGTGTATATCTGTCTGTCTCTTCATCTAAATGTGTATTTGTCTATCTCTCCAAATATGTTCTTGTCTCTCTGCCCAGATGTGTATTTGTCTTTTTTTCTCTAAATATGTATTTTTCTGTCTCTTTTGATGTGCACTTGTTTTTTTCTCTTAAGGTGTGTATTTGTCTTTCTAGATGGGTACTTGTATATTGTTATATACCATACATATGAACACTAATGGGCATGTCCCAATCCTCATAAATATGTTGGACACTATTGTACGTGGGGGTAATATACTAAGTAGTCCACCACTAACAATGGTTTACCTATTTCATGCCGCAAGCGAGTATTGTATTTTGTTGATGTTATAAAGATTACCATTTCATTTCCAACCTCCATTTTGGTTATTTCTCATTCAGTAACCCTTCCTAGGTTACAACATATGTCTACCCAGATGTGTATTGCCTCTCTCTCTCTCTCTCTCTCTCTCTCTCTCTCTCTCCCCAGATGTGTCTCTCTTTCTCAAGATATGTATTTCTCTCTTCAGACATATATTTGTTAGTCTCTCCAGATATGTATTTTTCACTCTTTCTTTAGATGTATATATCTCTCTTCAGCTATGTACTCTCTCTATCTCTCTCTCTCTCTCTCTTCTCTCTTTATCTATCTATCTCCAGATGGTTATTTTGTTTATCTCTCCGGAGGTCTGTCTCTCAATATATGTACTTGTCTGAATCTCTAGATGTGTATTTTTCACTCTTTCTTTAGATGTATATATCTCTCTCTCCAGATATTTATTTTGTCTCACTCTCTCTCTCTCTCCAGATGGTTATTTTATTTATCTCCCCAGAGGTCTGTCTCTCAAAATATGTACTTGTCTGAATCTCTAGATGTGAATTTGTCTATTTCTCTCCAGATATATATTTGTCTGTCTCTCCAAATGTGTGTCTGTCTCTCCAGATGTGTATTCATCTGTTCAAATCCAGAATCAACTGATATCTATCCTCGATATCCTCATAATGTGAACTTCTTACTCCCTACTTTACATTTGACTCTAGGAGAGCAGCTCACTGAACCTTCTTGGCCTCATATTTTCGACTGAGTTGAGGTGGAACAACTACATTGAATCAATAGCTGCATCTACTGCAAGAAAAGTTGGTTCTCTGTGTTGTGCCAGATCTTACACATCTACAAATCTACCATTCGTCCAACTTCAGTCACTTTCTCACAGATGTGATGTGGCTTCCCTCTGTCTTTTCTACAAATATTTTCATGGCAACTGCTCTGACAAGCTTTTTTCCCTGGTGCCCCAACTCCATGAATTTAAGTGTGCTACTGGATTGGCATTTAGGTCCCAAGCTTTTACTGTTTAAATAGTTAAATGTAACCAGCACTTCTACTCCAACAGTTTCTTTTCTTGCACTTCCCAACTGTGAAACTCCCTTCCTTTTACTTGCTTCCCTGATAACTACAATCTTCAAAAATTTAAATGTAGTGTCAACCACCATCTTTTGTTGATTTGAACCCTATTCATCTTTTATCCTTTCCTCAATCCCCATATATCAAGTTTTTCTCTCATTTTCATTCTCTGTAGTCCTCTGTGTACTAGTGACACTCCTTCCTTGCTTGGGGTGAAATGCTTAAAAAAAAATACAATATCACTCAGTAAAGCTCTACTCTGAGTGGCCTATGAGCCTTCTATTGGGTGAACTAACATTATTAAAAAAGTATGAAATATAACTTGATAATTTATATATATATATATATATATATATATATATATGTATAATAAAAATTATAATAATATATATGTATAATAATAAGAATAACTACAAGTTACTCATTTGTTGGCCTCATCACCTTACAAAGAGAGAGGGTAGTGAGATCAAGATGTAATATGCTTATCTTATTCACTAAACATGACAGTTTTATGTTTTACATTACATGAGACACAGCTTTCCCTTAACAAAAGATTAAATTTTCTAATATATCTCATTAATTGAAATCAGATAGCACTACATTGGTGAACCTGACATGATCAATATCTGATAGTAATTCATATGATTTATTATGCATTATTTGATGTAGGTTGGGTACAACAACAGCTTACAAGATTTTGAATTTCACTAGTCCTATTATCTAACCAATCGGAAGCTAAATAAATCTATAAATATTTGTGGGGCGTTTTAATTATGCATAAAATGCTTACATATTACAATGTATTTCAGGTCAAAGCAATACAAAAAGGAAACCTGAAATGTGAAAGAAAGGCAACAGAGACAAAGCTTAAACATAAAAAAACTTTTCTTTTCGGTCTATATCTCTGAGATGAGGTATTATGATTACTTGCATTATTTACATTATTTGGACTATTATCCTCATCTTCATTGCCATATTCACAACATTTCGGCCATTGTACGCTCTGGCTTTCTTCAGATGATTGGATCTCTGACATGAGGTATTATGATTATTTGCATTATTTACATTATTTGGACTGTTATCCTCATCTTCACTGCTATATTCACAATGTTTCAGCTATTGCATGCTCCGGCCTTCTTCAGGTGATTCGATCTCTGGAATGAGGTATTATGATTACTTGCATTATTTACATTATTTGGACTATTATCCTCATATTCATTGCCATATTTACAACATTTCGGCCGTTGTATGCTCTAGCCTTCTTCAGGTGATTGGATCACTGAGATGAGGTATTATGATTACTTGCATTATCTATATTATTCAGACTGTTATCCTCATCTTCATTGCCATATTCACAACATTTCGGCAGTGATGAACCAAAACTTGGTGAGTTGAGTTAAAGGGACATAACTGAGACATCCAGAAGAGGCATGGCACGTGGAACTAGAACAATCTACCCTGGTGGATGAAATAAAGGGTTTGGTTAGAAATTTCAATCACCTGAAGAAGGCCAGAGCATATAACAGCTGAAATGTGAATATGGCAATGAAGATGAGGATAGCAGTCCGAATAATGTAAATAATGCAAGTAATCATAATACCTCATCTCAGAGATACAACAGCCGAAACGTTGTGAATATTGCAGTGAAGATGAGGATAACAGTCTGAATAAATGTAACTAATACAAATAATAAAAACCTTTATTTTAGCATCGTCGTTTTATCTTATGACAAAAGTGGAGCTTCGACCATGTCTTCGGGAGAGTGGGGGTGAGTTTTAGTTTAGTTTTAGATTGTAAGAATTTTTTTGAGATGGTAACGATTTAGTAATACAAGTCTTACTGATTAATCCATAGATGGGACGGAGAAGAGGTGGATTCATATCGAACCAGGATTTGATAAAAAAAAGAAATCATAATGTGAACATGAATTGGGGGATCAATTCTATATTACAATCAATATATAAACTGATCCTTCACTTTGTAACCACGATAGTTACTATACATTTATATTCCAGAGAGTATAAATAAATCTAAAAGACATGACTGTGTAACTAATCAGGATTTGATTGATTGATTGTTTGATCTGTTTTCTATGAGTTATCAACCCTTTGTAGGTTATTTAAAGCTTGAAAATATTTTAGATTGTAAGAATTTTTTTTAAGATGGTAACGATTTAGTAATACAAGTTTTACTAATTAATCCATAGATGGGTGAGAAGAGATGGATTCATATCTAATCAGAATTTGATAAACAAAAAAGAAATCATAATGTGAACATGAATTGGGGGATCAATTCTATATTACAATCAATATATAAACTGATCCCTCACTTTGTGGACACGGTAGTTTCTATACATTTATATTCCAGAGAATATAATTAAATCTAAAAGACATGCCTGTGTAACTAATCAGGATTTGATTGATAGATTGATTGATTGATTGATTTGTTCATTCATTTTCTACAGCTTATCAACCTTTTGTGGGTTATTTAATGCCAGAAAATATTTTTGATTGTAAGAATTTTTTGGGAGGAGATAATAATGGTTTACTGATACAAGTATAATACAATTATAATGTGTGTATATAAAGTGGGGGATCAATTCTATATTACAATCAATATATAAACTGATCCCTCACTTTATGGCCACACTAGTTTCTGTACATTTATATTCCAGAGAATGTAATTAAATCTAAAAGACATGCCTGTGTAGCTAATCAGTACTTATTAGTTTTCTATGCCTTATCAACTCTTTGCAGAAAATAGATTTTTTCCTTTGTGTGATAATAATGATTTAGTGAAACAAGTGAAACATATCTGGTGGGGAGAGGGTTAGGGTATCTGCATATAAGGGAATTTAATGAGCCCAAATGTAATTGGAACTTGGCCCTATGATTAACAATTCTGAGCCATTATCTATTACACCACCCATACATCCAAGCTTACAGCACTTGGTATTCCCAAGAGGTCACCCATCTAAGTACTGACCAAACTTGATGTTGTTTAACTTTGGTGATCTTACATGGATTGGTGTTTCACTATGATATGGCTGTAAGTCCATGTGTGTGTGTGTGTGTGTGTGACACAAGTAGGAAGAAAGTGAGTCCTGGCTTGGTCACATCAGGTTCAATGTGTAGTATCAGTTCTCATTTTGCAAAGGAGAAGGAGCCTGGTCTTGGGGATTCCAACCCTGCGGCAACTCCTCCCTTGCACAAAGAGAGGTAGGGGTCAGGGAAATATTGACACCTGCATGACAGGGCAATTTTATTCTTGGCCCTATGTATATGGGCACCCTACATAAAAAAAGACTTTGTGCCACATTGTATATTAGTTGGGAGGTCAGGTAAATACTACCACAAGAAACAAAAAGAATGTTTTCTGAAATTCAGTGCCACTTATATACTGATATGTCACATATCTATTGTGCCATGTGACTGGATATCTGAGTGAAAATAACTGCCCAATTTTAGCGTTTATTTTTCTTATCTGGGTATGTGAATGTATATTTTAATATTTTTCTTATCTGGGTATGTGAATGTATATTTTAATTTATTTAACTATGTGTTCATGTAAACGTTAGAAAACTTCCTAACAAATCAGAATAAAAGAGAAATATGAACACTATATAATAATTATTGTTGTGTATTTATATCTTTCATGTCACAAGCTATAGTGGGAAGAGAGGTAAATAAACTTAGTAGTCAGTTTATGAGCATTTACATCCTTTCATTATTACTCTATTTAAGTTGCGAATTCTGGATCTCTGTTTTATTGCTTGAAGTCTAGGGTTAATCGTTATTTTTCTCACATATCCACATAACCTGCTTCTCTTACTGCTTACACAACAACTGCCTTCAGTAACGCTCTACCTTGGTTGGCCCTTGGTCCTTGTCTTCAGATTTTGGTGCCACATTTTTGTTGTTTATTAAAACACTTTCTAGATACAGATTGAGTATCCTTTATTCAAAATCTGAAAACCTCCAAAATCCAAATTGACGTGACTTGCTATAAATGGAAAATTTCAGAAAGCAACATGGCATGATTATTGCCTTGCAGAATTACAAATAAAAGCTAGGCCACAAAAATCTCCTAAGTAGGCCAAGCATAGAAATGAATACAATATGGGAACCAGTAAGATGGAGTGCTAGAGAAAAGCAATAATAACAAAATTGCAATATGAGCACTGGTAAAAATGGTTATTGAGAAATTAAGTTTATAAAAATTTATACACATGGCCCAGTGGATAAAAGCGTTGGTTGGATCCAGTGATTTGACCCAAAAGAGTTGTGAGTTCAATACCTTGCTACAGCAATGGTGAACAAAAACTTGGAGAGTTTAAGGGAGATAACTGAGACATCTGGAAGAGGCACGGCATGTAGAGCTAGAACAATCTACTCCAGTGGATGAAATAGAAGTTTCAGTTCAAAATTCCAATCACCTGAAATGTCATGAACATGACAATAAAGATGAGGATGACAATCCGAACAATGTAAATTATTATAAATAAAATGCTGACTTGTTTCAGTTTTCATTACATTAACTGTAATCAGAATCCGTGTTTTGTTTTTATACAAATACTGTACCTGTATATATTGTAACATTTTAATCAAAACATGACATTGTTGGTAGAGACTGATAGCTTACTGAATTTTCCTTCTGACCAGATATGAACTCCATAAAGGCAGAAAACAAAATAAAAAAGTTGTTTTTTGCACATAGGCTCTGAGTATCATGTCCAGTCCATGATGCAAGCCCCTGCAATGAAAGTGAAACCAGCCAATCGCAAAGGTTCTGGACAGAAAAGGAGATGCCTCTGGGGACTGTCAGATCTGCTTAAAAGCAGGCCTCCCATAACAATCAGCAACAGGCCAGCTGTCAACATGCCAGGTGCTGCCACCATCACTGATATAACCACTACTCTCAACTCAACCATTAATAACTCTCAGTCTTGATGAATGACATGACTCTTCACACATGGAAACCAACAGAGATCAGCTTCAACACAATTAGGCTCCCAACACCCCAAAACATGATTTATAATACAGAATGTGCTCAACAATCCAGCTTTGACAGTGCCAGGCTCTTGAAATCCAGCAATGTGATTGATGACATCACAGAATTCAACAGAAACCACCTTTGACACTACCAGTTTATATTCAAACTGATCCCTCACTTCGTGACCACGGTAGTTTCTATACATTTATATTCCAGAGAACTTAAACAAATGACATGTGTTGTGACACTATGTGACACTGGTGAACAGAAAGAAAGAGGTTGAATCAAAAACATAGTTCAAAATGAGACGAGAAGGGTAAATGAATAGAACAATGGACAGACCGAGAGAGAGAGAGAGAGAAGGGAGAATTCTTTTTTCCTAAAAAAAGACTCAGTCTTTTTAAGACCAGAAAATAACTCAAAGGATGAAGCCATAGGTTGGTCTAAGCTGACAGCTGATTAATGAGGCCGCTTTAGAAGCACTGGTTATGAAAACACAATTTAAGTAGGATAGATTTGTTCTGTATTCAAATGAAGAGAATAGAGTTTCTTTGTGTAACCTAGGGTGCTTGGAGTGCAATGAGTCAGGCAGGATTGGTGACTGACCAGATGAAGCTGCTTGTAAATTTCTGAATTTTAAGGAAAGCCAGGCTGAGAAATTTCACCTAAGTAAAATTTAAAATGATAATTTTAAGTTAAGCAATGCCAAGTGCTCGAGAGCCAGATTAGTTGAAGGGCAGCCAAGGTGACAGGTGCAGGTGAGATATCAAGGAAAGTGGAAGAATTGCCTACACCCATTAGAAAGTATTGGCGTGAGGTACCAAAATGAGAAGGAAAGAGTTGGGGTGTATCAATATCCTGTGACCACTACTCATGGAATTGGACATGTAATTAATTTCCCAGAGCAAGACAACAATGGCTCTTGTTGACAGTTAGGGGAATCACCAGAACCCCACGCCACGTCAGACCCCATGCAAGTTTTGTGTGAAGGTTTCTATAAGCGGGTGATCAAGGCACTCAAGAGAGTTGGTCCAGACACCAGATGAGAGATGGATGCTTTGCCTGATCTTACGTGACTGCCTGCCTGAAGAAAACCTCCAGCATAAGCCTTGTGCCAGAAGCCTTGTTCAAACTTAGCTAAACCAACAAAAGTGTCATGTTTAACTTACAAATTGAGAAGGGCTGATATTTTTCTGCATGTAGAATGGATAATTTTTAACATCAAGAACTAACCAAGCTCTGTACAAAGAATGTATACAAAAACATTTTTTTTATTCAAATTATTCAAATTATTTTTTACTTGTGACTTCACTCTACCAAGATCAGACCAATACAATGATTCCTGTCGACTATTTGATCCTTGTCAGCCTTGTGATCAAAATCAAACACAACATGACACAAGGCAAAGTTTGGATCAAAGTGATCACCTCAATGATCAGCCGCAGGTATTGGGCATCGGAGAGTCCAGCTGAGAAGAATAGTGAATATAACAAACCCAAATGTTATTGGAACTCAGGTCTCCAATTAACAATTTCAAGCTATTATGCATTACACCAGCCACACATCCAAGCTGACAGCCCCTGGTATTCCTGTGGTCACCCCTCGAAATACTAACCAGGATCAGCATTGCTTAACTTCAGTAATTAGATGAGAGTGAGTGTTTAGGAGAGTGACTTATTTCTATTTCATTAACTCCTGCATTTTTCTTTTAGTTAACTGATATTTTTGCAACTGTTAGATTTGTGTGTGTGTGTGTGTGGGGGGTCCCTATTACTAACAGAGTTTTAGTTGGTTTTGTAAAGAAAATCTGCATACAGAATCAGTTTAGTATTTATAGAGTAAATATGATCATATTGTGTCTGTAGTATGATTGGAAAAGTACAAATGTGATGTTTTGGCAGAAAGAACAACATTCATGTGAATCAATCAGAATTGTGACTTGGTTAAAAATAGGTCAACTGAAGTATATTGAATCAATTGTAAAGTCTGCAGAGTAGGGATATTATTATTATTATTATTAAATAAAAATATAATATAAAATAATAATAATAATAATGAAAATTACAAATAATATAAAACAATAACATAAAAACATAGTATAAAATAAATTAAATAAAAAAAATAATAAAATACTCCCAGCATGCAACAAAAACTCTTCCTGCCAGAAATACGGACATCCTGCTAAAAGACATTAAATTCAATCTCTCACCATGAACCTTGTTATGGGCAACACGTGTCCAATTCCTCTCTGCTTGTAATACTGTGGAGTAAATTCTCCCTTTTATCACATGTACCATAAAACAATTGTGACCTAAAAAATACACACACAAATACACACGCAAAAATATAAATAAATTGTATGAAGTTAACATACATGCCTTTCCTTTTATTTCTGCACATTTTATTTTCTGTCAAGTATGCTTTTGTCTCTGTGAACATGAAGCTAATTTCTGCTTCTATGATGTGAGTGAACCCCCACAGCAGCTAAAAAAGTTGGTTCACTATTTCATGCTAGACAATTTTTCTTGTCAGAATTTATATTACGTATTTATAAGTCTACCATTTTTCCTTGCTTTGAATATTGCTGCTACATCTGGTCGGGGTGTTCCTGCTATATATGTAGAGATTTTTGATAAAATACAAAGAAGAACCTGAAATGTTATTGGTCTTGACCTGGTATCTCAATGCCAGTCCCATTTCCACTGCCATAACAAAGCTACCCTGTGCCTTTTCTTCTATAAATACTTTCATAGTAATTCTGATGAATTTTTTGCTATGGTACCTAGACTTTATAAATTTAAGTGCAGTACTAGATTGAATATTTATTTACAAACACATGTACATGAATTCAAAAAAGTTAAAATGTATTAAAAATAGTCTTCAGTTCAGTTAAAGTCTTTGTGTAGTTGGTCCACAGAGAAAATACTTTATCATTAGTGAAGATTCACTGACAGTCTTTGTTGTTGCTGGAGATGATTCATTTGAACTATATGACTGGCTGGCTATGTTGTTGTTGTAACTGATTTGTTATAAGTCCCTAATGCAAGTTTCTTTCAGC